CATTCATTGAAATGATGAGTATAACATTTTGGTTTATACCTATCATTTCAATGAATGTTATTATAATGCTTTTTTAAATTTATTGTTGTGTTTTTGTCAGAGAAAATAGTAACTTTGTTAAGTCATGAAAAATTCATGGAAATTAATCATGGAAAGTTATGAAAAGTCATGAATTTGAAAATCTAAAATGTAGCAGATACCCTGTATTTAACATAATATGATTGATTGCCAACATGGTTGTCTAATCCTCTTAACAGTTGAAGGCTGGAATTATTTACTTGTGGTTCAAATCATGGTTTAGTGGTTTTCAACCAAAATGTTTATGAGTTTGAACACTATTTATATCAAAGCTAATTTGAAAGCTTTCTTTAAAGAACTGTACAATGTTGATTGATTTTTGAGATTTAGTTTGTCTTGTGAACCAAGGCATATAAAATGTCTTAATATTGTACAAGGCTTTTACTTTGCCTTGACTCAGAGTAAGATAATTGGAGGATTCTTGAAAATTATTTCCCTTTAGCTTATTAATAAGCTTTATAGGTTTCTTAAATGAATGCTGTTGAATTTCAAAAAGCTAAAATAATTTTTTTTACTGTCATAAAAATAAAACATAATTTTATGTGTAGTAACTATCTTTTAATTATTTTTAAATCAGATTTTAGCGTCTCATACAGTTTTATATGTAATAATGATAAATTTTTGATCCTGATTCCATACTAATGCTTCAAAAGTATGATATAGGTTTCTTAAACGTATTAAATGTTTTATTATTCCTGTTTAGGGGCATGATCGATAGAAACAATATTTTACTGTGCTTCATTAATGTTTTTAGTATGCTTAAATTTCAGTTTAACCTTTTTCATGTTTCAACTGTTTAAATAAATAAGTACTAATTTTACTCTTTTCACCAGAAGAGTTTTTACTAAAATTGCAATTGTTTTTACTTAATTTGTATGATAGTAAAACCATGTGTTCTTTTTAGTAATATTAATGTAAACTTGTAATATTAATGCAAACTTCAATTAAAAATTTAATTTAATTTAAAACAGTCATATTATTTTCTTCAGAGTTTTATAACTAAGCATTAACCATGAATTGCATCAATTCAATCTTTATAGCAATGTAACTTTGAGTTATTTTAAAGAAAAAAAATTGTTTGACTAAGTATGAATTTAAATGCTTCATTTATTAATAATTAGTGGTATAGATGTTGCTGTGATAATTAAATGTCTTAAAAGATTTATATTTTATTCAGGCATTCTTTATGCTGCTATTATAGAATAGGATGTCCCTGGTCAGGTCCCTATAAGAAGAAAGCTGACCATGAGAAACGTTGTGCTCAACCTCAAAAAACTGGCGCAGAAATAAAAGAAGCAATTCCAGATGTTTTTCTACCTGTTAAATCTGGCGGAAGAAATCATTTGTGTGATTATCTTTCCTTTGAGAAAATTGCATGCAATGGTATGCAGAAAATTTTCTATATATTAATTAATTGTACTAATAAACCTCTTTAAAAAATTTATAATTATTTTCTTTAAAATCTAGATTTGCAGCTATTGGGTCCTTATCACACTGATGAATACTGCATTCGATTTGAAACCTTTAGGTTTTGTGCATTTGGTATGGAGTGGGAAATACGAGCTCATGTCAATGATAATGAAGCTGATCCGACTTTATCTTGTGAAAGAACGCTGAGTTATCAATTACTCTTAAAAGAATCTGTTGATAGGTGAGTTTTGTTATTAAGATTTTTGATAATTAAGAACTATAATTTTTTGACACAACAAATAGATGAGACACTGCATTAAATCGCTTTGTAGTGTGTATAAAGATGTTTTTTAAAATGTTTAGATAATGTTTTTCAAAATGCTTAGATAAAATGTTACTATATAGAAAGTTAGTTGATGATGCATTTCCAATTGTTCACCATTCCATTTCAGAGTGATGTAGGCAAACAACTATATATTATACATCATAAGCTGCTTTAATGAATCACATGTGATAAATAATAAAAATCTTTTATTTTTGAAAATATGGAGCTTCGTGAAAATAAAAAGTATTCATTTTTAATGTACATATATTTTATTAAATAATAAATTTTGAAAATGGCCCAGATGTGAGAAATAAAAATGAGTTTTAATAAAAACAAAACATTTAACCACCATATAATGGTTTTTCGAATTTTTTTCTAATGATATAGATTTTATTCATATTTCTAATGATATAGATTTTATTCATATTACTAATGATAAAGATTTTTCTAATGAAAATAGATTTTATTTTGTGCTCAATTTAAGGTGGTGGTATAAAATGATTACTTGTATTTAATTTTTATTTACTGAGTAAAGGATAAGATAAGATAATAATTTTTTTTTAAATGTTAGGAAATATGTTATGCATAACAGCTACTAGTTTATTATATATTTATTGGTATAGAATTTAAGGTTATTAGAAAAATATAAAGATAAAATAAGCAAATTATGTTTTCATGATATTTTCAAGTAATATTTCATTGGTAGTTAAGATAGTTTTATTTAAAGTAAATTGTATGAATTTTTTTTAAAAAAAGAAATAGTTTTTATGTGACAATATTTATTCATGTTATTTTTGTGTTTGGAATATTACTAATAATTAAATATTTTTTTCTAATAGTTATACATGTATTTATACTCTTATGTCATGTATTTATGCTCTTATTTTTAGGTATTTATGCTTATATCATCAAAGTGATTTCTTTTCCATCTTAATTTTTAATAATTAATTTTTAATTATTAAAAACCATAATTTTTTTCAAGTGCTGCATTAAATTGCTTCATAGTGCATATAAATATAATCTTTTTAAAAAATATTTAAATGTTTTAAGATATATTCATGCATTTATACTCTTATTTTAATTTATTTATGCTAAATCATCAAAGTGAATTCTTTAAAAACTCTATTTTTTTATGCGATATTTCAAATAATTTGACAAACTACTTAAATATCTATAACTAAGACTCAACCAGTTTTGTATATTTTATTTTAAGAAATTATTGTATAAGTACCAAAAAATATAAAATTTTTAAAAATTAAATATTGTTCTGCTTCATTTATTCAATAGCTGTCATTTATGCACACAAGTGGCTTTCAACTTTCCCAAATGCTTAATACCACAAAATTAAAAACAAAATACTTTATGTTTCATTTTGTATAAAATCTTTCTTTTTGATATCTAACTTTAATAATAACCATATCTTATCAGAACTTTATTTAAAAAAATTTTAATACTGTTTACAAATAACAAAGAATGATAAAGCAATAAGCTATTTTTTTTTAGTTTTTTTCATTTCTGTATTCTGTTTTTCTCTTTTTTCACCACATCTTAATTTGTATAAGTTGACATTCGTCTTTTGCTTTAGTGACTTAATTTTTGGTCAAAAATTACTTTTTTCTATTTCCTTTCAATTTTTAAATTTTTTTTTTTATAAAATAAATTTAAAAAGTCGTTGAACAATCACTTTTGTTTCAGAGGACACTGGTTGGAACAAACTAATATAGATTATTAGTTGTTTTATTAAATTGTTTGCTTGTATTATTTTTTTGAGGAATTAAAGCAATTTAAAATTTCAGATACAATCATCTTTGCATTAAGTTTTTTTTAATAGGTCGTAATATAAAGAAAATAATCAACACATTTGCTTTAACACATTTTCATGAAAGAAAACTGTTTCATTATGTATTAAAATATTGATTATATTTATAACTTTATTTGGAATTAAAAATTTCATTCTTTTAAAATATAAGAAATAGGTGAATACATTACATTAATGGATCATCTCTTAAAATTTTTTTATTTTTCATGATTTTGCAGAACATGGTCATTTTGTGTACTGTTTTCAGCTTTATGAAGTAAATCATTGCTCTTTAGAAATGTTATTATCTTTGTCAATTCTGAAATATTAATACAAATTATACACTTAGGATTAAGCATGTGAATTTTTTTTAAATATAAAATTTTTGATTTTTTAAAACAATCATTGAAATATTCTTGAACATTTTGGTGCTTACAGTCTAAAAACTTGTTAAGTTGACTGCTCAACTATAAACTTTGCCTTCAACAAATATTGAAATAATGAAATAATTTATTATTTCAATATTAAATCTAATTTACAAATGTGTCATTCATAATGATTTCATATTGAAATTTTTCTAATTATTTACATTTCCTCCTAAGCACTCCAAATGGTTCAAATTAATGAAGATATTTATTCATTTTTCAATTAAAATTTTGTTGTCGAAAATTTTTAATTAATTTTAAGCTCAAGATTTTTTTTTTAAATTTTTAAATGTATAATTAACAAAGAAATATTGCAATATGTAATATTGTAATAAACAAGTCAAAAGCTGGAAAACTGTATTTTAGATAGGTACATAAGGTGCAGTTTTCCTAACTGTGAATTTCAGTTAGTGAATAAATTTTTTAAGCAGCTTGAGCTAATTTATTCTGAAACAATGTGTTAAATTTTGAGATAAACTGAAAATTTTTTATCATTCTAATGAACAGGTAAATGTTTGTATACATGGAAGTGTTTTGTTTTTATTTAGAAACTTATTTAGAATTGAATGAAGATGACTTTAAAATGAATTTTTAAAAAATTGTTTGCTTACTCTTTAAGATAAATAACTCAAAGCATTTTTTTTAAAAAAAATTATTATTGCGATAATAGCATTATACTTGATGTTTTGCAATTACCACTATTCATTTATATTTGCAGATCATTTTTCAGAAATGGCATAAAAATTTACACATTGCTAATTAGAAATTAGTAATTTAGTTAAAAAGTTATATAAATTTTTTAAATGATATAGGAATCTGTTAAAACACTATTAAGGAAGGCAGTATAAAAAATAGCAAAACCTATTTTATTTTATTTTTTTGAAATTTATAGATACTTCTTTTAATCACCCTTTATTTACTCTCTGTTTTTAACTCTTTCATTCCGGTAGGGTCTGAGATTTTGAGTTCCCCTGTTACGGCAGTTTTCAGAAGGAAGGTTTTTCACTTGAACTCGACCACAGTTCCCACCCAGTGAGATAAGTAAAAGGGGTGTAAATGATTCTCCTTTCTCTTCATTGAAACTCAGTCAAGTGGGGGAAAAATGCATGCAGCAACAAATTGTTGGATATGTTTAAAACACCCCATTTACCAAAACGTTAGTTCAGCACTTTTTTGGCGACGAATAACTAGAATTGTAAAAGTTTCCTTCCTTCTTTTTTTGTTTTCTTTTTACATCTTTTCTATTGTTTTTTTTTNTTATCATTCTAATGAACAGGTAAATGTTAGTATACATGGAAGTGTTTCGTTTTTTAATATCCTGTCGCAATTTATTTAGAATTGGATGAAGATAACTTCAAAATCAATTTTAAAAAATTTGTCTGCTTGTCTGCTTATTCTTTAAAATAAATAACTCAAAGCATTTAAAAAAAATATTATTGTGATAATAGCATTATACTTGATGTTTAGCAATTACCACTATTCATTTATATTTGTAGATTATTTTTCAGAAATGACATTGAAATTTACACATTGCTAATTAGAAATTAGTAATTAAATTAAAAAGTTATAAATTTTTAAAATAATATAGGAATCTGTTAAAACAATATTAAGGAAGTCAGTATTAAAAATAGCAAAACCTGTTTTATTTTTGTTGAAATTTATAGATACTTTTAATCACCCTTTATTTACTCTGTTTTTTTTTAGATACTTAAATGATTTTATGTTTTAAATCCTGTTTTTAATAGTGATCCATCAGATAGCATTTTTGGTTTTAACCAAATTTAAGTATTGTGTATGAATGACACACAGTATGCATACTAAATTTTTTCAAGGATTCTAGAAACATATAAAGGCTGTAATTCTTGAAACACTAATTTTAATCAATAGGAATGTTTGTAAAATAAATATTTAATATTATTATTTTTTTAGGCCAATACATATGCATTATACTGTCGTGAAGGGTCCTCTAGGTGAAATGAAATTGCGACCTCACATTGAAGAGTTCAAATTTAGTGATGAAACTCCAGAGTCTCATTATGCATTATTACCTTTAGAAGATTCTATTGAATGCTATAGATTACTGTCTGGTACCATAAGATTTAGACTCATTATGTTTTGGGATGATTCATCATTAACTAATTGATAGTTTATTACTATATGTATCTCTGTAAATATGTACATCATCATAAATAAAAGTTGTTGAATTGTTTTTTTTAGTAACTATTTAACAGTGAATTATTAATTGTAGTTAATAATTTAGAAAGTTTGAAACACAAATCAGGCAAAAAACAAAGAATTTTAAATATATGTATTTTTGCTAAGCAGCACGAAACAGTTAACAAAACAGTACCAAAAACTGTAATCTCTGTATATATGTGCATCATCATAAATATCTCTGTAAATATGTACATCATCATGAATAAAAGTTGTTGAATTGTTTTTTTTGAATAACTATTTAACAGTGAATCATTATTTGTAGTAAATAATTTAGAAAGTTTGAAAAGCAAATCCCGGCAAAAAACAAAGAATTTTAAATATATGTATGTTTGCAAAGCAGCTCGAAACAGTTAGCAAAACAGTACCAAAAACTGACTGTCAGTTTTTGGTATTACCACTGACGACAGAAAGGTTTCTGTAGGTTGGCAGACAAAGTGTCCCCTGCTGTTTTGCTAACAAACATATCTTTAATATTCTTCGTTTTTTGCATGATTTGTGTTTCACACTTTCTAAATTATTAAAATAAGACAAATTTGGTTTTAGCTGCTTTTCGCGCTTTTCTATTATGACGTATGTGTAAATCGGTTTCTTTCTTTGATTGTATTTGCAATTATATTAATTATTCGAAGAAAAAAAATTCAGTGAATAGAAATTAAAAAACGACAAATTATTTTTGAAATAATTATTTTCTGCAAAATATTCGACTAACAATTTAAAGTTAAATTTTGTCACTTTAATTAAATTGTTCTAAATAATGTATATTTTTTAATTCAGAACTTCTTCACTAATTTTTGAAATAAAAAATAGTTAAAGACAATTATTTTTTTCCACAAAATTGTCTTTTGACTGGCAAGTTAAATTCTTACAAAAACTTTATGGACTGTTTGTTCCCAAGATGCATAGAAATGCTAAAAAAGTAAGCATAACATCCATAGTAGAATTATCAAAAAAAGATTTTATCGTTTTACAAGTTTTGATAATTATCCAATGGAGAAAAAGGACGTGTTTCTTTTTTTTCTTTTTAAGCTGAATTGTGTGTTTTTAAAACAGCAAAAACCAAAGTTAATAACTAAAATATTTTTTGTTGTATGAAATGCAGATATTCACTTGATCATCTCTTGTGTTGTGACTATTACTGACTATTTATTATTAAATCAGCAATGGAAAGAAACCTGCCAGGCCATGAGGAAGCTTCTAGACACCCTTTAATCCCTCAGGCCAAAACTCAAATAATAATTTAAAAAAAAAGATTGTTATAAAACATGTTGCAGACAGAGGTGTTTGGATGCACTGGGTGAATTCCTAAATGAGAGGTTTCATTAGTTATCTCTAAAAAAGAAAGTCTAATTTAACTTTTTTTAAATCATAGGAAAACAATCTGATTTCTTATTTTATTTTTCTATTTGTTTAATGCAAATGTAAATAATTCTAAGGTGAAAATTTATTATTTCCAAGGAAATCTAAATATTTTCTTAAACAGCAGAATTATTTAAATTATAATATTCTAAAATTTCATCAAGAAATTTACTGTATTTTAAAAAACAAAATCATTTTATTCTACATGAATTGTTTTGTAGGAGCAAAATAATTTACTCGTAAAAATTAGTTTTATAATAAAATTTATAATGAATTTGAAATTTTAATATTCTTTGCCGATTGGAAGCTATCTTCGAACTAAATGCCTGGACCCTTAGCCCTTTTTCTACTCGCCACTGATTACAGCAAAAGTTCCACCATTTGGTTATCAAAAATTAAGCTAAACTAACAAAGTGTAAGTTCAGTGATATTAAATTGTTTGGGGAAAGATAAAATTTAATAGTAATCGAAAATATCATCTCATTAATTAATATTTATTGTGTGATTGGGATCTATTTAAAGAATGATGATTGTCAGCGTGTCGTAGAAAACATTGCAATGGATAAATTTATTAAAAGAAAAGAAGATAAGGATATTAAATATAAATTTAAGAACTAAATTATATTAAAAAACTAGGAATTATGTATTGCCTATTTATAGTATGACATACTTTGAGGTACTTTAACTTAAGAAAACTTTCCTGACTAAGCTTTGGAGAGCCTAAATCCCTTACTCAAAAAATAAGTAAGTAAATGAGTATTGTGGAAAATATGCGTTTCAGTATCTGATTTCATCATGAACGTTAATTTTAATTAAACGTTCGGTAATTTTTTCTCAGCTATAATTGATTAGCATATGTGAAGTTAATCCGTTGACCATTAGCATTGCAATATTTTTTTTTTTTGTTGTTGTCCGTCGCTGTTAATTGGTTTTATTTCATTTAGCTTCATATGAATGAATTAAATCATTACCATTTTTACCGTTAATATTTATTTAAGAAGCGTGATGTCTGTATACTTTGCGGTTCTGCAAATTCGTACATCAGAGCCTTATGGCTCAGGGCATCGAATCCCGGCTTGCACAGACCACAGTCCTGATGTAAAATATCCTCAGTGGTAGACAAATTATGGGTTTGAGTCTCTTTGCCATGAGTCTAACCGTGAGAGGTTTTCGTGGTTTTCCTCTCCATGTAACTCAAAATCAGGTTAGTTCATTCAAGAAGACCACCGCATAGGCAAATTTCTCCCAGTACTTTATCCAGGAGTTCCCGTATCTTCTGGATTCTATTCAAAATTGCAAGGCTGCGGAGGTGAACACGACTGGTAGTCGTAAACCCACAAATTGAATCGGTTTCTCAATGACGGAGATAAATAAATTCGTTCATCACTTTATCTTTTACAGTTCTTTACATTTTGCCTTTTCTATTTACTATATGAAATTGAAATATCCGCCAAAAAAGAAATTCTTGTGTTCCAAAAAAAATTGTGTAGTTTGCGGGGCACCCTGATTCTTGATCCCTAATTATCGGATTTTTACCTACTAGGACTCAATCTTACGGATTTTTATCTACTAGGGTACGATAGGGTGACCTCAAATATGATAATTAAAAAGTGCAGAAGATATTTTAAATTGCGAAATCAAACATAAAAACGTTTTTCTCGGAATAAACATACATTTTTTCGAGGGATTTGGAATCAACCCTTAAAATATAGGGAGTAGAGTTAAATGTTAAGAAGAGCGATCAAAAATTTGGACTCCTAATGTTGATTTTACTTCTTTGCGTGTTTCGTCATTTCTTGAGAACTTTTTAAGCGATATGAAACATTTTTGCATTTAATTATAAAGTAGGTTGAACTGAAGATAATTCCAAAAAAATATTTTTTAATAATTATTAAATCAGGTGTCTAAAATTGGATTTCTGGGGAGTTATTTCTCCGGTTTCGTTCAAATTTTGTATCTTACATTTAAAAATTATAATCTTTAAAATAATGTAAAAATTTGTATACCTTTCGATACAAAATGTTTAAACTATTGTTAAATAATGTAATAAGAAAAAAATAAGTAATTATTTAAAATTATTTTATGTGTTTATTAGTTTTGGATTAATAAATTATATTATTGTATTTGTTCAAAAATGTTTCACTTCACTGAAAACATTCTCGAGATAAAGGGAAAATATCCAAAAAATAAAATTAGCATTAAGAGGTCCAAACTTAGGACCATATTTCCCAGATTGCGACTATTGGTATCAGGAAATCCGAATGCATCAAAAAAAAGGTATGTTTATTTAGAGAAAGTACGAATTTATATCTCATTTCATAACACGAAAAATATTGTGTGCCCTAACTAATTAGCATATTTGAGGTCATATCTCTTCGAACCTTTAAGATTCAGTCTTCAGAACGTGAAAATCCGATCTTTAGATCAAAAGTTATTCAAGGTGGTTCGTTTTTTATTCTGCTCTCTGTAAATTCTGTTCCGTGCTGGTTGCAGCATCAGGCTGTTAATAAAAATTATTAAAGGATGCTAATAAAAAAATTTTATTATTAAAAAATAATATTTTACATAAGTTTAAATAACTACTAACTATAATTATAAACTGACCATATATAATACTTAAAATTTCGTTTCATTTAAATCGTTGAATTAATTTTATTTCAGAGTCATTGAATAGTTAAAAAACCCACATTTTCACACAAAATTGATCATCATACAATTATTTTTTAAGTTATTGATAAATTATCTAAAATTCTAAATTTTTTAATAGATGAAATAAAAAGTTTTTTTTTAAATAACTTCTAAAATGTTCCGAAATCATGAAATTATTTTTTTGACATTTTTTTGAGGGGGGGGGGAGAAAAGCCCCCATTGTTCTCCTGACGCTACTCTTAGGGTTGCAAAGAACCTATTTTGAATACAATTGTAATAATGATATTAGCATGTATAATAATAATGGACACTTTCTTAAAAATTGAATTTATAAATCAGATGCATATTTTTTTTCTTATTTACATTTTGTACGGTGCGAATGGTTTTATAATTTGACTTTGGTATTTTTTGAGTACATTCTGGCGATGCACTTAGAGAATATTCCCGATCTAAGGTGAGTTGTTATCCATGAGTGGAAATCCTTTCTTTAACTCGATAGAATCTTATTGCTGTCAGTTTAACTTTCGGATGCTTTGTGACTTTTTTTATTTATTTTTTTATTTTATAGTTTTGTAAATTTGCGTAATTTTTCTCAATCTTTTCACAAAGGCGACAGTTCACACGGAAGTTAACTTGTTTTCTGAGTTTGGTTCAAAATTACAAGTTTTGCTACAGAGGTTAAATCAGCCACGATCCGATATAAAGCACATGTTTAATCCCCTGATGTACAATGAAATAAGTTTATGAGACTACCTTAAAAAAGGGTATAATCATAATAAATATGCCAAAAGTGGGTACATGGTTGTGGACATAAGGGTTAAAATTAGACATAACTATATTATTATATGACAAATATTTAATTGTTAAATTTTATATTAGAACCTAACACCTGGTAACGTGTCATGACTAATTTCAAAGCGTTTTAATAGATATATAACATGTCTGTTCTTAAGAAATTTAGTTCGGAATTAATCATCTAGATGGCAT